GAAGGAAGGAAGGAAGGAAGGAAGGAAGGAAGGAAGGAAGGAAGGAAGGAAGGAAGGAAGGAAGGAAGGAAGGAAGGGAAAGAAAGAAGAAAGAAAGAAAGAAAAAGAAAGAAAGAAAGAAAGAAAGAAAGAAAGAAAGAAAGAAAGAAAGAAAGAAAGAAAGGAAGGAAGAAAGAAAGAAGGAAAGAAAGAAAGAAAAAGACTTTACAGTCAGGCTGGGAGCGGCTCGTGGGGAAGGGTGCACGCCACACAAGGGCTGGGACCTGAGCTTGGATCCCTTCCTCCCGTGTGCACCTGCATGTGAGAGAGTACATCTGAAATCCCAGCACTTCTTCAGCAAGGTGGGAGGTGGAGACAGGGGACCCCTGTCCACAGCAGGAGCCGGCTCTCCCGGTGTCCACAGCAGCAGATTAGAAACCCTGTCTCAAACAGGCGTCAGGTGAAGACTGACACCCAGGGTTATCCATCTGACCTCCACACGCCTACACCACGCTCACACACACGAATGTGCACACACCCAAGTACACATACACATCGCATGCACACAAGAGATTTTTAAAAGCAATCATAACGGCTGGAGAGGTGGCTCAGAGGTTAAGAGCACTGGCTGCTCCTGCTGAAGACCTGGGTTTGATCTCGGCACCCACACGGTGGCTCACAACCTCGATAGCTCCAGTTCCAGGAGATGCCATGTCCTCTCTGAGGGCACAGGGAAGGCTGTACGCAGTGCAGACACACATGCAAGCAAACACATAAAATAAATGCATAAAACACATAAAAACAGTCATAAAATATACATGAGAGTTTTAAAAATCATTATAAAGAGCACCAAGTGAGGCCCTGAGTTCACTTCCCAATGTGACAAGAAAAAATTGAAATTAATAATACTACTCATGATGTGTGGATAATGCAGTCACATAGGGAAAAATTATAAACCCGCTAAAAACGTCACATGGGCCACAGAGACAGCCCAGCCGATGAAGGACTTGCCATGCAAGCCTGAGAACCGAATTCAATTCCTGGAGCCCATTCGAAGGTGGAGAGGGAGAGTCACACACACATACAACTTTTTAAAAAGATCTATTTATTATTTATACACACACCTGCAGGCCAGAAGAGGGCACCAGATCTCAATATAGAATGTTAGAGCCACCGTGTGGGTGCTGGGAATTGAACTCAGGACCTCTGGAAGAGCAGCCAGTGCTCTCAACCTCTTAGCCACCTCTCCAGCCCCACAAACAGCTTTTTAAATACAGCTTATTTTTTTTTAAATACAGCTTATTTAATTAAAACAGGATACAGAGACTGTTGCTGTTGATGCTGCTTTATGTGGGTGGAAACTGTAATCTTCTCTGCTGTTTCTTATTTTCCTGCTGTTGAAAACAAAAAATAATTGGTAACAAAATGTAAGAGATCTCTGTTAAATAAGTATAAAATCATACAAGGCATGAAAAAAATGACAAACAGATTCCACACTGTGGTCTCAGGTAGGAAGGCTTTAGATTAATCCAGACAGGAAAGGTGCTGGCCACCAAGCCTGAGCGCCTGAGTGCAACCCCACCCCTCCTGGCCCACATGGTAGAAGGACACAGGGTCAGAGCTGCCGTGTCCCCACCCCACAAATAAACTAAAGCAATACTTAAAAAAAAAAAAAATGAAATAGTACTACATTCCAACAATGAATGGTTTGAAAGAATTTAATAAAATAGCACTAAAATTTATCTTTAAAATCCAGACAGCATCCAAGGAATAGTAGGGGGCTTGGGGTGTGGCTCAGAGACAGAGCTCTTATCTAGAAACACATCAGGCCCTGGGTTCCATCCCAGAACCAAGAGGAACAAAAATACCTAACACCAGAAAGGCACAGGGTAGATCTACATGAATACAGAAGTGTCACATACAGCAAGATTGACTTCTTATTAGTGGGTTTTTGTTGGAGCAGTTGACAAACCACTGAGAAAATTTTATTAAAATATTAGATTTTTTAAAAATCATACTATAAAGCAAACCACAAAACTTTTTTAAAAAAGGAGAGAAAGGGGGATAAGTGGGTGCTTTGTTTTTCATGTGTGGTTGTTTTGCGTGTGTGTGTGTGTGTGTGTGTGTGTGTGTGTGTGTGTGTGTGTGTG